GCATGTATGTATGTATGTATTAAATTAAAATTTGATAACAGACTTTTTCAATGGATTATATTATCATTAAAAAACTTGGTCAATAGTTTAAATTTGACAGATTTCTTAATAAAGTTGAAGTCAATTTCTCTTTCGTGATTATGTCGAAGATGATCAATATTTAGCACAACTTTCCAATGTTTTATACTACATGTCTTTATATTAAGTACTTAGAAAAAAAAACTTGTTTTATTTTTCTTTTACTTCAAAACTTATCTTATTAATTCTTTTGGGCGTTAGAAAGCAGTTACTTTTATGCCCAGTTTTTCTAGGACGCGAGATCTTAACGAGACACTCTTAACTTTAATTGGAATCGTCTGTTACTCATATTTACTTCTATTCTTATAAAATATATATATATTGCTGGAAAAATATTGTTTTGAGAAATAATAATAATATCGTTAAAGAACAACAGCACAAAAAAATATACATTATGTCATTAATGATTCACGATGATGCGTTTTGAATTTGGCTAGTCAAATAAAAGTAAATGAATTAACTATAATTTATCATAGCAATATTTAATTTGCGTAAATAGTAATAATTACATCTTAATTAGAGTCGAGCAAACGCGCCTTTTCCGGACACTCAAAATAAAAGGTGTTATTGAATGTAAATTCGTGAGTTTGTTCGCCGTCGGCTCTTATTCGACGAAATTTCTCGCTGCTTGTTTTGCACAGTGTCATTTTACATCGCATTAACGGGAAAATAACAGAGGGGAGTAATGATGAGAACACCGGCGCAGATTTTCTTGCGATCGTTTTTCTTCCCCGCGTCTTAATGGAGGACGTCAGACGCGCGCGCAAGATTATTTGCGAGACAGGCTCGAAGAGCAGGAATCTCTGGAGTGGTATTTCTGGAGTAACACTTCGTTGTTTATGTACAAACGGTCATGTATTTTTATTCGTCTTTATTTGATTATTATTTAATTATTCTTCTCCTTCTTATTTTCCTCCGCCTCAAAGGAGCCTCTTTGTCATCGCTTATTTATAAGCCTCCATTGTGCTAATCAATTTGTAATGACATTATTTAAAATTAGAGCCAAGAAAACGGAGAATCTTACATGTCTCGTGTTGATTCACGAAATTAATCTCTTCGTATTTATAGCGCTTAGATATCGCTAATGTCGTTCGTTCAACTTTAACATTCTCCATGTGATAGTAGATATTGTATAATCATACTAACGTAATCACACAAAGAACGAAGATTCGAGAAATCGTGTTGATTAAAAAACAAATCGCGGTTCGGAGTTTGTGTAGAAAGAAAATTGTCTGCAGATGCGCGATAATTTTTCTCGCCGGGACTTATTCTCAGTTAAATGGATTCGCAAGATGACAGGAGTGAAACGTGAGCTTGCTCTGCTCGGATTTTGCGCCTCTTATCATGTCACGTTTCGTTACTATCTAACAAAAGTGGATGAGCCGTAATCTCGCGAGAAGCAAGAAAGCGGGACTCGTCCCGTTGTAGTCCTTTTGACATTGCAGTGTCATAACGCACAAAGATAATGCCAGGGTGGCCCGATCTTCTTGCGAAACTTGCTTATTCCTGCTCACATTTCCCGACATTCGCAGTATTGACCTTGAATTCATGCACCAAATTGGCATTATTTTTTACATAATATTTTTTATATATTACGCATTTGATAGAGAATAATATGAAGATGATAGGGGAAAAGATTGCATTACGAGACTTAAGAGAATCTCCCCCCTTCCCCTCTATTATAATATTTTTACTGAAATCAAATCTAAAGAACCGAGTCTTTGAAAAGAAGCTTTTTATTTCTTATATTTCGCACACCAGTCTCTTTTTGCATCTCATAAATATCGTACGTTATCTGCGCCTCATTAGACAGGAAATTCTACCCGACTGCAGTAGAATCTTTCTCGTACTGTAAACGTCATCACATCCACAGGTGGTACCGACACATGAATGTTCATTACTATTTTTCCGAGCAGAAATATCACTTTACTGTAAATACTCGTAACATTATTGCAGATACAAGAGTATTATGTATCTAATATATATATCTAATTACTTATAAATAATTATACAGTTCATTATTAGTGTACGCAATAATAAGCAATAGTATACGTATCTTTACATCACGAATTTTTAAAGGCTTCTGGAAAAGTTATGCGATGTATTCGCACTACGAAGAGATTAGTCTCATCAATCATCGCGAAACATTTAAAAATCTCTGTTCTCATGTATTTGATTATAAATCTAATACCTATGGATGGATGCGAATTGCAAGTATTGCGTGAAATCGCAAAGTGGTATATTTGGAAAAAAAATAAAAAAAATAAAAAGAATCATTGGCAAACCTTTATAGATTGGATTAAAAAAGAATTGTCATTTATACACTATTTCTTTTGTTGATGTTACAGGCGTCATCAGTGGCGGTGTGAGACATCGTCTGAGCGGCGGCTCTGCGTCCGCCCTGAGCTGCGGGGGCGAAAAGTATCGAGACATTAAAGGCGGAAGGACCGGCGACGGTCGAGCCGGAGGCGGTGGCAGGGAGAAGGAGGATGACACCAAGAGCGCGGAGAACGTGTCCAGGGGAGTTTTACCCTCGAGGCAGAGCCTCTTGGACCTCGTCAGCGGTAAATTCATGGGCCGACAAACACCTACCCACCACTACTACCACCAGCAGCAGCAGCAGGTTGGTTACCCGCGATTTTACGTGGGTAAAATATTCTTTTTGCTAGCATACTCGCCGGAAGAAAATATCCTAGCGAGGACACTTTGCGCGCGCATTGAGCGCTCGATATTGGTCCACGAATATCTCTGCCCGCGAATCTGATTTTTAGCGAATAATTTTGCAATTCCAGAAAATTGGATCTCTTTCACTACGCTACTTCTCGCTCGTTATATTTCAACTTTTTTTGTTGCAAAAAATACAGAGTTTAAAATTTTTAGTATGTTTTTAAATAGCCATTACACGTATTCTCTTTCTTGAGCACATTTTTTAATTATAGAATTTCAAGAGAGAAAACATTAAAAAGTTGTCGAAAAATTTAGTTTTAAAATCTGATAAATAAATTCTATATTCATCTTTTAAAAAGAATTGTTGGAAGAATGCAATGGCTGCGGACAAAGTTGTTATATATCTAACGCTACAAAACGAGATAGACAAAACGAGAAAGAATAGAGGACAGTGAAAGAATGAGAAAATGGAGGAAACATTTTTTTAACTCGGGTTTTATCAGCTTAATATTTTAGTCGAGATTATAATAGCAAAGTAACCGTATTGTATTTGTTTTCGCGAAAAGAGTCATACACGTATCCGGGCTTACCGCGACAGGCGCGCTTAATTCGACGAACTATTCGACGTGAAAAAAAATTTGCAAGAACAATCTCGCAAGCGGATAACAACGTTCGCAGTATTCGCTCCGTCCAGTATGCATGACAACCGCATGGTAGCCATACCTCGATGGCTCGGATATTGCATGAATAAACTAGTGCGGAAAATATGTGTGCTACGAGAATTTTCGCGATATATGAAAAACAACCGGAACGGTTGCATACGTTTGTACGTACAGTCAATGGTTAAATAAAGTACAATGGATATATGTGTTAATCAATCGACATTGTTGAGCATTTTTGGTCATGCGAGAAACAGCAAAAAATATTTACCAATGAAAATAAGTATGAAAAAATAATTGTATTATGGTTAATCTTTATCGATTAAAAAAAAGTATTTTTCACATTTTTACAATATATTTACGCTGCATATTTATACAGTGTATTTATACCGTATATCTATATACATATAAAAGACGGAAAGAAAAATCTACGTAGATCGCATGTAGCATTTTTATGCGCGCACCATCTGTATCTATGAGATAACGTCGTGATGCTTTGTGCATCCTAATTGGTGCAGGTATATTCTGTGTCGCAGCGATACTTCAGTTCGTCACGTGACTCGCTTCAAGGAGGATACGTGAACCGGGGTGCAAGCGAGCTTGATCTAAGCCGCAAGCCGAGAAGAAGGGACCACCTGAGGGGCAGATTCAAGCTGCCGTATACAGTTGCGCTCACGCCTTCGCGTGACCAATCGCACCTGCACACACCGGCGTCGGTCAATCATCTCAGCAACGCCAGCTGCAACGGCACCGAAACGTGAGTATTTTATTGGCAAGCAATCACGAACGATTGATAGAGAATATTTCAATTATCGTAGAATATCAATTTTCGTTATATATTCTCAATATAGCTATTCTTTTCTGTATCTCGATAACGAAAAAAACGGATATTCGCGGAAAAATTCAATTTGATGCTAATTCCCTTCTTTATGGGAAGCCATTTCCGCAATGAAAATTCAAGAAAATGAATATAACGAAGAAATCTGCGTAGAGTAAAGGATCATAAATATTCAAGCGACTTCTTGGAGTTGATACTGGATGACGTTTTCTGCGTTTTATTAAAGAGTGCTTAATTGTAGCGCTAGGGCTTTCTTTAATTAGAAATATCTACAGGGGGCACAGAATCATCAGAGCAATGCAAAATTGCGAGATAGTTCTTGTGTAAACGATGGAAATCTTTTTTTTTAATTTAGCAAAACCAAAACCGCAGTATATACAAAATTGTATCGACTTTTTCCAGTTGCCGCGAATATTCGATATTTTCAACATCGTAATTATTCACATTGATACGCGAATTTTTGCGTACAGTGCGAGTAATAACGAAAAAATGAATAAATGCACATAATCGCGTTCAATGACAAAAGCAATTCATCAGCGCACGTTCGCTGAATTATTATCTCAGGAGATACACCGCGCAGCAACAGCAACAGCAACGCGGTAGTAGAGGCTTTCCTGGGCAACCTGGATCGAGGAATTTTCGCACGGGTGCGCCAAATTGGTCCTTCATCTTCGATCCTGCGGGACGCCTCTGCTACTATTGGTCAATGGTGGTTTCCCTTGCCTTTCTTTACAACTTCTGGGTGATCATCTATAGATTTGCCTTTCAGGAGATCAATGGTTAGTCCATGCGCTCATGATTTATTTCAATTTCCACGCTCGTAAAAGCATTTTATATTTTATCAGTACGTTCTATAAGATCCAGAGAAATTGAGGATTCAAACTTCAAAAGGCACATTAGTATATCTTCTTGCAAAATTGATTGAACCATGAAAGTGAGGCATATACTTTAGAGATTTAATTTTTATATTGATTATTACATGCTAGGGTTTTCTGAATTCCAATATATTTTAATATAGAATAAAAAATGAAACTCTTTAAATATGAAATTATTAAATTACGTTGTAATAATTCGTGCTTTGATTTATTCATGTAAGAGCATTTTTTAATGAATAGCTTTTAATAATACTTTACGTATCCGAGAGTTTTGAGGAATTTTATTAAATGAAATAGATTTTTGTTAAAACGCTCACAAGTTTAATGTCTTCTTTAATTGAACATCAAAGCAAGCGCTAGCATAATTTATAAAACAATGCATAAAACAATGCATAAAACAATGCATAAAATTAAACAAAAAATAAAGGCAACGCTGCAATATTTCACATATGCAGAATGTTACAGAAGCTGCCTTTTTCCAATCACAAATATAGAAAGCCAGACTAATAATAACAGCAATCAATACGGAGGCATCAATAGCTTTCGACTGATAATTTGATTATAAGCGATTGAAAATGGAAAGATTTTATCTTTTGGGAATATAGGTATGCAATTTTTACAAGAGAGAAAAACATTTCAAAATAGATAATTTTTAATTTTTAAGAAAAAATTATTAAGCTCTTTGTAATTAAAAGTTAACACGTATGTTGTTCATATTAAAATGGGCATTCTATTGCTTGCGAATGCAGGAGAGACTCGTTGGGTGTGGTTCTGCCTGGACTACTTCTCGGATTTTTTATACGTGCTCGACATAATATTTCACATTCGAACGGGATACTTGGAAGACGGTGTGCTGCAAACCGACGCCACGAAATTGAGAAACCATTACACGAACAGCACCACGTTTTACATAGACATCCTGTGCCTGCTGCCCCTCGACTTTTTATACTTATCTATAGGATTTAACAGTATGCTGCGAAGTTTTAGACTCGTAAAAATTTACCGGTAACTATCATTCAATCCTCTATCTTTTACACTAACTTATTAATTATATAAAACGATAAACTTAAATGACAAGTTTATCGTAATATTTTGTGCAATATATTTTATTCATTGCATTTATTTTGATATATAATATCATATTCTTTTATGACATGAGAATTATAAATTTGATGCATGATGCATGATATTCGGAATAGAAATTGATTTTTGACGCGAAATTGAGTGGAGTGCAACGAATTGAATATTTTTTAAAAACAATATCTTTTATATCACTAGTGATTTTCGCGCGAAAAATTTGCTTTCAACGATTAAGATATATCGATCGGTGAGGATCGAGTAAAGAGTCATTATTGCTATTTTCTTGCTTCATCCTCGACCCGATCGTAATTGGTTTTGGATTTATAAGTACGAAAGTTTAGATTTCTGCTCGACAAACACCGGGACTTGTTTAAACTAAGCCGAGATTGAAAAGGATTGCGAAAGTTTGTGTGTAAAGTCACAATAACGCGCTGCTGATTTTTCGCACATGAATGCTTACATTCTGGAACAAACATCGATGATCTAGAAATATCGCAAAAATGCACGATGAATAAATATTGTGTCTCAATGTTATCGCTCCTCAGTAGAAATACGGCGCGCGAGAGAATATAACACGGCTTTTCCTGTATCTCCGACCCAAGAATTACGCATCGGTGACTTATCGACAAACTCTGTCAAATCTGATTTCGTCGAAAACAATGAACCATCAGTCGAAACACGTCCATGTTCTCATTTATTCCTAAATGTGCGTGTCATTCTCATTTAACGTCGACATTGGACGCGATATGTGTATTAAGCAAACGGAACTCGGAATCAGATGACCGTATTTAATGATAAATGGTGGCAGTGAGAACATGGACCACGTAGTATGAACGCATTTAGAAGAGTAATGATACAAAGGGTCGGAAAAAAGAAATAGAGAAAACTACGACAAATATCATTGAAGATTTAGTAACATAATTATTTCTTTAATAATACGATTTTTCTTTTGATAATTTCGTAAAACTTAATCTTTATTTTATACTGAGAGAACATTCGGTAGATTAAGAGAAAGAGAGAAAGAGAGATCGTCAAGTATACAGATAAAATTAAATATAGTAAAACTTGTACACTTTACGCTTCAGTGTTTTTCTCTCTTCCAGTGTTCTTCCATAGTTCATACTATAAATCATTGATCGCAATCGTTTCAATCGCTGCATCGCGCTACGCTATAAATCATGAAATTGTGCGAGTCGCGCGTCAATACGACGGAAACTCGCCGCATTCGAAAATAATAAATAAAAAGACAGAGGTACATATTTTAACCTGTTGATGACTGGATTCTTTGTTATATACGCGAAGATAAAAAATGAACGAACATTCATTGCGCTCCACGTGATTCTCACCTCGCGAAACGTTGTAAAAGGAATTCCGAAATTTATGACGCCCCGACCGCCGGAATTTCCACCAATTTTCTCGACCCGCTTTCTCCGTCTCTGACGCAGGTTTTGGGCGTTCATGGACAGGACCGAGCGACACACAAACTACCCGAATTTGTTTCGCTCCACCTCCTTGATACATTATTTACTGGTGATCTTTCACTGGAACGGGTGCCTCTATCACATTATTTATAAGAACAACGGCTTCGGCAGTAAGAACTGGGTGTTCAACGATTCCGAGACGGCAGACGTTGTCAAGCAATATCTGCAGAGCTACTACTGGTGTACTCTTGCCCTAACGACCATCGGTGATCTGCCCAGGTATTTATTCATTTATTTATACGCTTATGTTATATGTGTATATACAGGATATACAAGCTTGAAAAAGAATTTACTACATTATTAATACAATCATATCAATCTTTCTCATTGCATGAAGAACCTCATGAAAATGGTATTCGCACAATTTTATTTATTTAAGTAAATTTATTTTATTCATACTGTTCTACTTTTATACAACGAAATTTATTATATTCCATATTATTTATTATATTGTATAAAATATGAAATATGTAACATGATATATGTTAAATTCGTTTTGTGCTGGATCTAGAAACAAGGAAATTTTATTATGTTAACATCGCACATATTAAACATTAATTTGATATCATAAACCCTCCCCGGCTTTTATATAAATCCCACGATTTTCATTTTTTTCGGAAAACGTTGCTGAAACTCATGGGAGTAACTTTTACACTATTATGATATGCACTATTCTCAAATCGATATGCATATGGATTACAGTAAAAACAGTATCAGTATACGCAGCCACGAGGTTATTGAAATAACAATTTTTTTTATTTTTCATACCATGTTCACGCTCCTAGTGTGATGTTCCCACGAGGCTCTGGGATCATTAACTAAATATAACATTTCGCGCGTATTCTCGCAGTCACGTAATGACGTTCCAAATTCAGTTTTCAATAAAAGATAAATCGTCGCTGTTCTGTTTTAACGCTGCAATACCTACACCTTATAAAGTAGATTGCTTTTACAAAAATCGATGACAATGTGTGTCAAATATCTAAAATCTAAACCATCAAAAATAAAAAAAAGATATCAAATCGCTAGAGAAACAAACGAACAAACGGTAATAAAATTGATGAATTTTTGGCGATATTTAGTTCCTGCGATACAGCATCGAAAATACATCACGATATTACATATTATCATGATTCTCTTTAATAACGTTCATTTTTATTTTGCGTATATATATGCCGTTTCTGAATTTGTCATATTTTATGTTTGAAACCAGCGACATATTTTAATTGCGTGGATATTTATTGGTGTAGCATGAACATTCGAAATCATTATTTCTCACATTAGCTGATTGGAATCAAGCAAGAATTGCATAAAAGAAAAACTAAAAAGCATCAGCAAACAAAATGCGAGTAAATAAATCGATATTTTTGTTAGCGCACTTAAAATAGAGGAATTTACATGAAAGGAAAAGAAAATATTGGCGACATTTCAATGTATTTATTGGACAAAAAATTTCCATTTGTAAGCAGTTTTCATTCCCTACTTGGTTCGAAACGACTACGGTGAATAAATAATTAATGAAGGTATAAAGTGCCATTTTATTGCATTGTTAAAGGAACGTATTTTTATTCTACTCTATGTGTTCAGTATATACTTAAAAATATTTGCGTAAAATGGTCATTTTACCTAAAAGTGGTTTGTGTGAAAATTGTGGAAGCAGAAAACGCACACATTAGTTGAAAATGTTAATAAATATTTTTTCTATTTTCATTTTCAGACCGAGGAGTAAAGGCGAATATCTCTTTGTGATTGGTCAGCTGTTCTTTGGTCTGCTATTATTCGCAACGGTGCTGGGTCACGTCGCAAACATCGTCACTTCCGTCAGTGCGGCACGAAAGGAGTTTCAGGGTGAGTCAGGTTCAAATTCCTCGCATGCATCTCTTTCACATTAGCTTACTAGCCGTACTTTAACTTTCCGAGCGAAATTTATTCGACGAAAGCAAAGTAAGATCGGTCACCGTTTTTTTTTTTTTTCATGTCACAAGCAGCGTCGATTTTATTATGACGCATTCGAATCCTGATCGTATTCCATAACATTTTATTCCGATCCTGCCAGATCGAAAAAGCAAAAAGAAAACTCACGAAGATATTCATCTCCTGGCTCGTGACTATAAATAATTCGGCACACGTGATACGCTTTACGGCGCGCGAAACGAGATTTATGATTTTCATTCGACACGTAAAACAAGTCACACGATAGTTTGCTAAGTTCATATGCTACGTTTGTACGACGGCGGCAATTATTCATCCAAAGTGCTCGAATAAGATGAATCAGAGCGCAAAGTATGACTGGATTTAGCGCGCGTGTTAATCCAGTTTCTATTTTCAAAGCTTACGAGCTAACTTGGTATAACAGATACGACTAGAAGGAGTTACATGAATATGAGAAAACAATGTCTATATCATTATATGAAATATAAATACAATGAAGAGATGTCTAAAATTCGCGGGGAAATAGTTCACTTAATACATTTTTTTTTTAAATATTTGTCTTTTGGCACAAATGTGAAACAATAACGTAAATAACTTAAATCTTCGTGCAATTGAATCAGTTTTTACAATACATTTTTTGTATTTTTTGAAATATACAGCAAAATATGGCTTTATATGTTTATCCCTTCGCCGCGCGTCCCAAATCGTTCAAATTATTTTGACTTGGCAAACCGCTATCGAAGGACCTCGCCCTTCCGTGCCGTTCCATCGCGCAAAGGGCCATGATAAATAACTGCATTTTCAATTAACATGGGAGCGGGAAATGGACACTTCGTTCCGCGCCCGAGATCCGTTTTAATTGCGTCGCTCGCAGTTTCGCCGCGTTCGCATTTCCGCCCTTACACCTTCGTTATTTCACGACTCACCGGGCCGCACTCTGCGCGCTGCTTTCTGCAAAATGCGCGATTCGGTGGTGCATTTTTGGCACAAAAGCGGGAGAGAGAGAGAGAGAGAAAGAGAGTGCGCGCTCGGCGTAATGACGAACCGAGAGCATTCGCGTTTTTCACTTGTATCTTTTAATCTGTTGACATTTTTTCACTCTTCTTCTCTACCATACATATTTTCCTTATAATTCTTTCTTAAATAGTAAATCGCGTAAATGCGCTTATTTTTGTTTAGACATGTTCACGATCGTAATAATCAGTTTATTTAAACGTACAAAATAATTAATGCAATAAGACTGTGTGAGAATACTGCAATACTATTTTCTCACATGTTATTATATATATATTAGATTGTATTCATTTTATTGCAGTAATTATTTTATTATACAAACTAAAATACATAAAGAATTACGAGACATCGCCTAGATTGATGATTAATTGATGTTTGAATCAATCAGACACACATATATTATTCGAAAAATAATAATGAAAAGCTTCAATCGATTATTTATTGTGAAATTTACGATCTTAGTTGAACGCATGCGGATAGCGTATAAATGGCGTTCGCAGGATTAACGTTAATCGAATTTAAGCGAGTGCTCCTGGATTAACGCGACTTTCCATTAAACGCGATGCATCCTGTTACAACGATAACAATCGATGCTTGTAATTTCCCTTGGCATTGTATCGCCCGCCAAAAATATGAAAGATATAACCGAGAGTTTCTTTAATTGTATATATATCACACCGGGTACGCTTCTTACAACATTGTTCGATTACGATAAAGTATAGGATATTTATTAGGATATTTTGCAATATTATTTTAAAGTTTTATATCTTCTATCTGATTATAAGAAAATAAGCCTCTATCTGGATTTTTCATTCTCAAAATAAGACATTTAGTGAAATTTAATTTGATATATTAATCAATATTTTATTTGTTATATACTACTAAAGCGTATGGATTTCGTTTGTACATTGTATTTCTTTTTTTCTAATAGATTCGGCGTAAAATAATGTTTTGTTTCTTTAAGAATAAATATCGCTTCTTTTACACAGGCGCTTTTTAAAAATATATATCTTACTTTTTGAGAAAACGCACATATATACATATACTATATATATATATATCTTGATAGCGAAAGATAAAAATCGTGAAAATAGCATTTGTTACAATTACGACTTCTACCTCGCCGATTAAGATCCTCTTTAGAGGATTTGTAAGTCCCTTGACCCTTGTGCAGCAAGGAAAACTGACAGGATCGTTAAGTGACGGGATATTTAATAACGGTCTTCGGGGTTCCTTGAGGAAGCAGAGTGCGGACTTACATTATCTCCATATTTGTGAAAAATTTACTTGACATGATTTAAAAATTTAGTGAAAATTTACGATTGCAAAAATCACGTTAATTTTAGCTGTAATACTCATTTCTCTTTAATATAGATATCAATGTTAAACAATAGCCTTAAAACTATAAATTATATTGTTATAGAATGGATGCATATATAAAATCTCATTGCGTCGTATAAGTATGTAGCAATTCCTTATCTCTTCATATTACAAAATTTAATGGAAATGTCAATCACACAACATTCCATAAAGAAAAATTAAATTTTTCTATGCGAGAAAAGAACTACATTGGATTTTCATTGTACTTTGAATCTTTATAGTGACAAAGTGGCAAAATGCCACAAAACAATAACAATTTGCAAAGGAATTATATACTCGATAATTACCTGTCTATCGATAAATATTATTACTTATTGCAACATTGTTTATTACTGCAACATCAATAATGCATAGTTGCATCACAAACAAGTAAAAGCAAGCAAAAGGAAAACATATAACTTTCTGTGATCACTGTTGCTAAACACATAAAGAACATCTTTTATTATTGACTAAGAATACTGAAAACTGCAACAATCATAAACATGAACACACGCGTCTGATATCTTTAAAAAAATTATTAATTAACACGGTATAAATTTAATTTAAATTGTTGCAGTATCAGATTTGCATGTATTACTTGACCTATTTACTTTGCCGATAAGATGTCAATATTGATTAACTTCCGCATAATTCCGAAGTGAAGTACATTAATTTAACATTAATTTCGCGAGAGATTTATATGTCATGTGTGATTTTCCGCTGACAAGTAATTATTATCTTACTTCTCTTATTTCTGTATGCTCGAATTTATTTGATATAAAATTTTTAATATTTCTGTCAAACAGATCATTTTTCAATTGCATGCTTATACGATAATTCTATTCTCTTTAATATTATCTTATATAAAGTAAGCAGTTAAATTCAGAAATAAAAAGTAGGATATTAAAAATATTTAAGAAAAAAGGGAAATATATATAAACTTAATATTTTTAGAACTTTAAATTTATATCAAGTCAAATCGATCAACATAATTGACAGTGGTAGTGATATTGAATTTACTGAGATAGTCATACATTATCTACATAATCTAACAATTTTTCTCATATAGATTTACACATACTTGTGAAGAGAAAGTTACTGATACCCGGGGAAAAAATCATAAAAGTAGTTTTCTAGTACATTGGAAACAATATTATACAGAAATAATGAAATAATGAAAATGTTACGATAAAAGTTTTAGAAACCACTTTTATGAGTTCGATCGACGCATTAAAATATGAAGAAGGAAACTGCAATCGAATTTAAAAAGAGGAGAATACAATTTGGCATAAATTTCACTGATAAGTCACTATAAAAGCAAATAAAGCGATATTACCATTATCAAATCTTCTTACGCACATATCCTCTTTACGGACCACTGTAAATTAGTTTAGATTTGATGCGCTCTAGAGGGGATTTTTATTTACAATGTAAAACGAAATTGCGAAATGAGAATTAATATTATAAATTAAATTTATAGTATTCTCCATAGGATTCGCGGAAATATAAAATACAGGACGATGGGATGGTAATGACCCCCGGCGCTCTTTACTTTTATAATTTTCTCCGCGGAATTAAACTACTTCCGGTGGGAACGTCGGTGATTAAATATGAAATGCAATAGAATTTCTTCTAATTTCGCACTCGCGTTCATCTTCAGCTACGGGATATCTCGTTACGCGCAGCACGAAATCGTTATTGCCCTGGCGCACTTGCTGTACAACAAGCGTAGATTTATCAGATTACTTATAGAAAAAGAAAAAAAAATTATTTCGTCCGTAAAAAAATAAAAAATACATGAATAAGGCGGAATAAAATGTAATACCACAGACTTCTATATATTATACCTAGATTGATAACATGGCTATGTCTTATATGATGACATGTGAAACAAGGGAAACTATTTACAATTGGGCAAATTGGAAGTGTATATATAATGTATATGTAAGTGTAAAAATGCAAGTGTGTATTAACCCAACCTGGCTTCACCTGTCACATAGCAGTCTAGGTATAATATATAGAAGTCTGTGTGTAATACATTTATACATTTATGTAGTGAAATATCTCATCAAAACAGCCTACTAATAAATAGCGTAAAATTAAACTAATCTTTGCTATATAGCATATAGGTGTGTATAGTATTCTTGATGAAGAAGAAGTAATGTGCTTCGTGAATGAGAAACTCGCGAAAATAATTCGTCAAGCTCTATTTACAGCGCCGTCGGTGTAAATGCGCTGTCAACAATTTATCTCTGAAAGCAGCTACGGTTATTCGAAAAGTTTTCTAATTTGCCAGAACTACGACAGAATGTGTTCGCTGTGCTTCTTCTTACAATTGGCCATCATTAAGCGGTTATAGGTACGTCGATGAGTTCGTAGGAGTTTATACGCCGGATACTCGTGACGATTTAGATACTGCACGAATATTGTCCGTCCCCCATGGACTATCGGCGCAAAACTCTCGTGATTTTAGTCAACCATATAGCCGACCGTGTTCGCGGAGTTCACTTTTAATTGCCCGTCGTTAAATAGTTCATTAGCGT